CCTCAGCCTCAGCCTCACAGCCTCAGCCTCAGCCTCAGCCTCAGCCTCAGCCTCAGCCTCAGCATCAGCCTCAGCCTCAGCCTCAGCCTGCCTCAGCATCAGCCTGCCTCAGCCTCAGCCTCAGCCTGCCTCTGCCTCAGCCTCAGGCTGCTTCAGCCTCAGCCTCAGTCTGCCGTCGGCCTCGGCCTCAGCCTGCATCAGCCTCAGCCTCAGCCTCAGCCTGCCTCAGCATTAGCCTGCCTCAGCCTCAGCCTCAGCCTCCGCATCAGCCTGCCTCAGCATTCAAAATGTGGCCCGGGAATGGAGTTCTGGGAACTCGAAGAACACGAAGTGGCCTACAGTTGGCTCGGGCATTCAAAATCATGCGAAGGAATGGAGTTCTGGGAACTCGAAGACCACGAAGTGGCCTACAGTTGGCTCCGGGCATTCAAAATGTGGCCCATGAATGGAGTTCTGGGACCTCGAAGAGCACGAAGTGTGTAACTGTTGGCTAAAAAGTCCCCGGCACTCCCCCGGATCGCGCCCAGACCCCCCTGGGGCGTCATGATGCTATCTTTTGACCCTACTAGAAACCTATCAGTCTTCGCTGTTAGGTAAAAAGTAAAAAACAACAAATAAATAAAATTACCCTGGCGATGGACCCAACCATATGCAGTTACGAGTACCGCAAAGCAGGTTGAACGAATGAGAGGGAACTCCCTATGGGGCCACGAAGCGTGTGAGGGGTGTGCCGAAATGGGTGCGGTGCCGCCATGCCAACGCAGCCACTGGGGCCCTCGGTGGAGCTCCCTATGGGGCCACGAACGTGTGAGGGGTGTGCCGAAATGGGTGCGGTGCCGCCGTGCCAACGCAGCCACTGGGGCCCTCGGTGGAGCTCCCTATGGGGCCACGAACGTGTGAGGGGTGTGCCGAAATGGGTGCGGTGCCGCCATGCCAACGCAGCCACTGGGGCCCTCGGTGGAGCTCCCTATGGGGCCACGAACGTGTGAGGGGTGTGCCGAAATGGGTGCGGTGCCGCCGTGCCAACGCAGCCACTGGGGCCCTCGGTGGAGCTCCCTATGGGGCCACGAAACGTGTGAGGGGTGTGCCGAAATGGGTGCGGTGCCGCCATGCCAACGCAGCCACTGGGGCCCTCGGTGGAGCTCCCTATGGGGCCACGAAGCGTGTGAGGGGTGTGCCGAAATGGGTGCGGTGCCGCCATGCCAACGCAGCCACTGGGGCCCTCGGTGGAGCTCCCTATGGGGCCACGAAACGTGTGAGGGTTGTGCCGAAATGGGTGCGGTGCGGTCTCTCCAAAACGAGGACCCAACACCACAGGATGGTTGGGAAAAACAATGCCCCTTTGGAGGCCCCGGCAAGGCCAGGCGGCGCGACGAGCGGCCCGGCTCCCCGAGGAGCGGCCTGCCCGGTGCGCGGCGGGCGCGGTGCGCGGCGGTGCGCACGAGGGCGGGGCCCGCGCCGCACAGCTGGAATCATGCAGGGCTGCTTCAGCGAGGTGCGGTCGCGACCATCTTCGAAGGTCGAGGAGGAGGAGGAGGAGGAGGAGGAGGAGGAGGAGGAGGAGGAGGACGAGGAGGAGGAGGAGGAGGACGAGGAGGAGGAAGAGGAGGAGGAGGAGGAGGAGGGGGAGAAGGAGGAGGAGGGGGAGGACGAGGGGGAGAAAGAGGAGGACGAGGAGGAGGAAGAGGAGGAGTAGGAGGAAGGAACGATGGTGATGGAGCGCTCCTGCGAGCGGCTCAGTGGGAGCCAGACTGGGCACAGGATCGGAAGACTATCCGTTCGAGGCCATGCGCTCCCCGAGGGGGTCCGAGCGGTTGGGGACGGCGCAGCACGCCGCCTCGCCGATGCATTGATGCATCGGCGATGCTCGGCGGTGAGCCCGAGAGGGAAGTGAGAAGGAGAATGCCTTCTTAGAAGGCTCGGAAGCCCCCCAGCCTTCTGAGAAGTGCTCTGAGCCTTCCCCGAAGACGCAGAACACTTCTCAGAAGGCGCGAGGGCTTCTGAGAAGACCCGCCGCCTTCTGAGAAGGCCTTCTCCTCCAGACTTCCCCCCCTTGCTCGTCGCCGAGATGCAGCTGCGGCGTCGGTGATGCATCGCCGACGTCGGCGTGGAGAACATCGGGCTCCACATCGAGCCGCATCGCAGATGCATCGGTAGAAAAATCTCGCCGCATCGCCGATGCCTTGATGCATTGGCGATGCAGCGGCGGCGTCGGTGATACATCGCCGACGTCGGCGTGGAGAACATCGGGCTACACATCGAGCCGCATCGCCGATGCATCGGTGGTGCGGCGCGATCCTCCGACCCCATCTACTCGGAGCCTCCCAGCTCCAGGAGAGGTCTGCTGGCCAGGCCGCTCAAAGCCCGAAGGCCTCGGAGAGATCTCCTGGCCCTGGCCGTGATCTCCCCCCTCCAATCCTCGCCCGCTCCAAAACGACCCCGGATGATCGCCGACCGCCTGCACAAAGGATCCGTGATCCCCCCCCTTTGGTCCGCGCCCCCCCTCCAACACGGCACCCCGAGTATGTGGAGGTAGTGCGAGGGGGTGGAGAACGTGCGAGAGAAGGAGGGGAAAGGAGAGGAGGGGGGTGAGTGGAGAAAGTGCGAGAGGGTGGAGAAGGTGCGAGACAGGGGAGGGGAGAGGAGAGGAGGGGGGGGGGGAGTGGAGGAAGTGCGAGAAGGGGAGCGAAGAGGGGGGGGGTGAGAAGGCGGGGGAGAGGCAGGGAAGACGAGGCGCACGCTGCGATCGGATGGGGCCCCAAGGGGGGGGGAAATACTGATGAAGCGCGAAGAGTGAGACAACGAGCTGGGAATCCAACGTCTATACAGGTCGACCTCCTTTTCCCCCTCCCTCCCCCTGCTCATCTGCATGTGTCCCTCCCCTCTGGAGGGGAGAAGGGGGGGGGGGGCACGAGGTGGATCTGTGTCATCGTTGTCCTCCTACGGTGAGCTGATGAGGTGAAAAAACATGGAGCGCCTTCTGCATACGTGGCAAGGAACAAGACATCTGGAGGGGAGAAGGGGGGGGGGGCACGAGGTGGATCTGTGTCATCGTTGTCCTCCTACGGTGAGCTGATGAGGTGAAAAAACATGGAGCGCCTTCTGCATACGTGGCAAGGAACAAGACAAGCTCGAAGTGGCGCCAGGGGACAGCATACCTATCACGTGCAGATGCCAATATTCCCGGAGAAGCGGAGGGTAGGATTCGGAAGGGTCGCGGATGGGAACAAGGGACCACAAAGAGATGGGAACACAATCGGACCTAGGCCAGAAGAACATCCCTCAAGAACATGAGACCCTCCGCCGGCCAAACTGAGGACCATTCGAGGGTGCACTCCCCCAGGGTGGAACAGTAGGGTACCCTCCGCGAATCGATCTCGATCTTATACCTCGGTCCGACTGTATAGAGATTGTCAGGTAAGAACTGTGACGAAGCGCCAGAACTACCATCAGAGAACATGGCCGCGATTTGATCGTACGAAGAACGCTCGATAACGATCATCATTCAGTAGACTCCACAACCACATGACACAAATGTAGAGAAACCCCGTTCGTAGAAACATGGCACAAGCGGTGACTAGCAAGATCGGGTACACACACAACTGAATGATGGTAACAACCATGGGGCACCAATGGCTCGACAGAAGCACACGGAAACATGGGAAATCATGTGAGACGCAATCGCGTCTACTGGGGCCCTGACTTCGGGGGCGGCAAAGAGGGGGGCGTCCAAGAGGGGGGGGGTGCAGATCATGACCGGCGGCATGTGCGCGGCCCAGCGGGGGGGCCAGGGACGTAATGAAATAAGAAGAGGCGCCATGAAATCTGGGGAAATATCATGGCCCGCGCCATGATATCCCCCCCCCCTAGTCATCACCCCCCTCTTTTCCGCCCCCGATGACTGTCCGCAAACAACACGTGCCACCCGACCGTGTGCTGAAGACGACACGGACGCAGTCGACGGAGCAAAGGGGCACGAGCGGGGCAGGATCGTGGTCCCAGGACATCGCGAGGAGGAAGTCGAGGATGCCGGGGGGGGGGGGGAGGCCGAGGAGGAAGTCGAGGAGGAAGTCGAGGAGGAAGTCGAGGATACCACGGGAGGCGGGGGGAGGGCGAGCACGTGCGCACCAACCGACGGCAACACCTCCCCGCGCGGCCGACGAGACCGGGCCAGACGGGACGACCCGCGCACGCAGCCGCGGCGCCTGCCCGGGCCCTGTCCCCCGCCGCGCGGGGACCGCGCTGCGGCGGCCCGCAGCGCAGTCGCGGCCAGGAAAGCATGACACGGGAGGCCCGTGCGGCGTCGATCGTTCAACCTTGAATCGCTCGCGGCCCCGATCGTTCAAGGCTGAATGCCGTCGGGCCCGATGGCGTTGCCGTATCCCTCGGCGCTTCCGCGCCGCAGAATTCAACCCTGCATCATTGAACGCCTTCGGAACGCCTTCGCTGGCGTCGCCAGCGCGCCAAGGCCGCATGAACCTATCGTACCTCTGTGCCGACTCAGGCTCATACCTTCGACTCCAAATCGAAGCCGAGAGAAGAATAGGAAGCAGTAGCGCTCGGTAGGCGCACAGAGGCAAGCGAGGTTGTGCATGCGCAAGAGCAGGCAAACCAACAGTCACTCCTGGGCGATCATGTAGCATCCAGGCTGAATGGCGAGTATACCCATGTGCAAAGCATGCGTGCACCCGTGGGCAAGTCCATAGACAAACACATGTCGTATGCCAACGCCTCAGGGTGAATTGAAATCATGTCGGAAACATACGATATAATATCTGCAACCCATTATGATATCAACCAGACGCAGCTCCAAGGGGCAAGCAGGGAGGGAGCAAGGAGACCCATGGAGAGGGAGGAGAGTGGGAGAGAGCGACGAGGAGAGGAGAATGCCAACCCAGGAGCACCCCTCGCTTCTTCCTCCTCCTCCTCCTCCTTCCTTCTCGTCCCTCTCCTGCTACTTGTCCTCTCCTCTCTTCTCTTTTTCATGCAGGGCGGAGGCCTCATTGTAGATTCAAAAGGTTCTTTCCCTTCTGAAGGAACTGGAACACCTCCGTGGCCACATCCTTTGGGCGACGCCAACAATCCAACCATATCTTGAGCAGGGACGGACCGTCCCGGCATTCCTGTAGGCCTACCACGAAGTGTTCTAAGAACATTTCGTGCAGACCACAAACAGTTCTCAGAACATTCTCTGGTGGGGGTGTAGGCGAGCCAGGACGCCTCGCCACTGCTTGAGCATCGGCCCTGGCCGAGCGAACCCCTGGGCTCGGCACCTGCGTGCGCATGCCTCTCCCAGCCCTGACCCTGAAGAGCTGGAAGCGGCCAAGGGGGCTCTGCGCCGGGTGGGCCTCGAGAAAGCCGGCCACTGGCGGGTGACGACGGCAGCTCCGCTCAAAACCCGTCCCCTCGCCCCTCCCTGCGCTGAAACTGTGCAGTTCTGCGAGCCGCGTCCAGCCGTGGCGACGAGGGGACTCCTTTCTACCCCTCCCTCTGAAGGCGCCCAAGGACACACAAAGAGATACACACAAATAACAGGATCCCCAATATTTTTTCGATATTTTCTTGGTTTTTGTCTTCCCCCCACTTCCCATATTTTCCCATATTTCCTGGGGATCGACGATTCATTGTGTCTGTGTGTTTTTTGTTCCCTCCTGATTTCTCCCCCCCCCCTCCTCTGCTGACCTTACAAACCGGGCCGGGCCCCTCGAAGTCCCCAGCCGACTCCAGCCCGAGAGACTGCTGAAGCCGGAAGAAACTTGTAAACCCGCGGGCGCTCAGCGGTCAAGGGCAATCCGACGCTGGCACCAAGCGGTGGGATTCACCGGGAGCGAACTGGGGAACAAAGGCGAACGGGAATAGAAGAAGAAAAAACAGCAACGACATAAACTTTTGGCGCTCCGCGCGGATTTCTTGGATCTGCGCCAGACCTCCCTCCCTGGCGCGCGGAGCGCGCCAGGGGCGGCGCCAGAGGCGTCGCTGGGGGGGCCCAGCGCGGATCCAAGAAATCCGCGCGGAGCGCCAAAAGTTTATGTTTACGTCGCTTCTTTTGGACGCCCGAGTTATCCGGGGTAACTCGGGTCCGGGGTAACTCGGGTTTGGATTCCCGAGAAAGAAACCCGAGTTAGCCCTGACCCGAGTTATCCCTGATGATTCGGGGCTCTGGACGCCCGAGTTATCCGGGATAACTCGGGTCCGGGGTAACTCGGGTTTGGATTCCCAAGAAACGAACCCGAGTTAGCCCTGACCCGAGTTACCCCTGATGATTCGGGGCTCTGATTCTTCTTCCTCGAGGCAAGCCTCGGGGACGAGACGAGACGAGCGCGCCGGAGCTGCGCGTGCACCCGTCTGGGGAGCCCGCTCGTGCCCCTCCGGGTGTGGCGTGGAAGCCGCAGCCTCAGCCAAGGAGCACGGAACAACCTCTGCCACGAGGGGCAACGTTGGGGGTGGGGACCCGGCTCAGTGGGAAACATCGAGCTTATATCAGCGATACGTCGCCGAGAGATCGGCGATGAGGCCCCCGGTAGTGAATCCACAGGTTCCTGGGCGGGGTTGGGCCATCGGCCAGTATGGGCGATCACTGGGCGATTGGGGGTCGATGCGTCCCCCTGAGCCTATCCCTCATGTCGCCGCCGGTGACCAATCCTCACCAGAAGCCTCAGAGAGCATCTCAAAAACCGCCAGCGGCATGCGAAGATGTTCGAGAATCCCCTGGCCACCATGAGAGGCCAGCAGGGCACACAAGTGCCCCGACGAGGGCTCGCGAGCCTCGCTGACGCCGTCGTCGCTGTCATCGTCGTCGTCCCCGTCCCCGTCCCCGTCCCCGTCCCCGTCGTCGTCGTCGCCGTCCCTGTCCCCGTCCCCGTCGTCGTCGTCGTCGTCGTCGTCGTCGTTGTCGTCGTCGTCGTCGTCGTCCCCGTCCCCGTCCCCGTCCCGTCGTCGTCGTCGCCGTCGTCGAGGAGCAGGAGGAGGAGGAGGAAGAGCAGGAGGACGAGCAGGAGGAGGAGGAGGAGGAGGAGGAGAAGGAGGAGGAGGAGGAGAGAGAGAGAGAGAGAAGGAGGAGGAGGAAGAGCCACGGCGTGCCGAGGCTGCGGCAACGTGCCCGCCCACGGGGGGCCAGCCGCGCATCTAAGACCCCCTATCCCATTCACATCCCGTCCTGTTTTGCACCCTGTTCCCTTCACCTATACACCATATTGTGCCCCTGTTCCTCGCTCTTGCGCTGCGGTGCACGACGTCCGAACTGCGGGCTCGCGGCATCGACAACTGCGTCTAGCGCCCACCACGACCAGCACACGACGACTCCGTGGACATCCGCACCGAAAGAGCACCACACGCAGGGCCATTTTGGCCAGGGACCCGACTTTCAACACGACTCCGTCGACCTCTCTCAACCTCGCCTGGCACCGCAGGGAGGGGGAAAAGCGTGCAGCAGCACGCACACTACTACGGGTAGCATCAGCACGCACACTACTCGACCAACCCACCTACCAGCAGCTACAAGCAACACAACTACTACTCGACCAAAACCACAACGCACAACAACCAACAAGACAGCCGAACGACACAATGTACGGCCACACACAAGCCCCCCAGGCCAAAGGCAAAAGCAAAAATAAATAACAGCAGGAGCAACCATACGGCAAAGGTCAAGGGCCATCCTGGCAGCCAGTCGGTCACAGTGCATACGCCAACCCAGCTCAACAGGCTCCGACCTACTATGCAGCACAGACACAATACCACCAGCACCAAGGCGACAACTACTACCAAGCAGCTGCAGCTACACCATACTGGACATAACAACCATCCATACCCAAACAGCAGCGCACGACTACGCCAAGACTCAACACAAAACAACTACCGACTACACCAACCAAGCACGGCGACTACGTGCCACAACCAAGCTTCGGCAGCATCCCAGATCACACAGCGTACACTACGAAGGAGACTCAGACACGGATCGACAGCATAGCAGAAGCATATCACAACGACGCTGTACACGAAGATCAGCCTGTAGCCACACCCCTGGAAGTGGGGGCACTGGATACATCCCAAAAAACGCCGACATCAGGAAGCTCGCTACACACATACTGGCAATGGAGAACGCAAGGCAAGATGCAGGGCAACTACGTCATGAGCTGGCAATCGTAAAGAGACAGCTGCTCGGCCAAAGCCAGAAACCGACCAACTGCAATACATACGCAAGCTCGAATCTGACTACGCCACATGCACCAAGATCTCGGCAGCAACCTTGAAGCAAGTTCAACAGCAGCATGCGGACAACATACACAAAACCAAGACGTACGCCAACTTGGAGAAGGAGCTGGCCAACCACGGACAACACACACCCAACCCACAAGCACCTACACCACACGTGCACAAAGAGTGCAACTCAATTTATACCCACGCGTGCGACCACCTTTTGTTCCACTCGAAACACCCACACCCAACGCGGACAAGGACGACAAGACACCGAAGCTCAAAGCAATACTCAAACACTTATGGCGAACTCCAAGCCCACGACTGGACAATCACATAGCTCAAAACGGCCCAACAAGACACAGACAAGGAGACCCGCTTACAACAACAACTGCAAGCAGCAGAAGGGACCATGCGACGACTGCAAGCAACGAACGGCCACCTCCCCAACGATTACCACGAGCCCCGTGAGCACACGCAAGCACTCTGACAAACAGAGTTACACATGCACACATGCAAGACAGCAAGGCGACTGCAGTATGGCTAGAAGCACCAGCACAGCGTGAAGCCGAGCACACAACAAGACAAAACGGGCAAAGACACCAACATATAGGGAATATTGCAGCTCAAGCGCTCAGATACCACGCACAAATCAATCATCTCCGAGCACAGAACGACCAGTACCAGACCACGCGCATTGCGCAGAAGAGGTCAGAAGGGAAGCCAGAAGCGGCAATCGCTGAATTAAGACCAGACGATGGAGAAGAACCATCGGCACCACAACACTCGGGGATCTTCTGACCCAGGTCAATCCAGACCCAGGTCAGCAGGAAACCAAAAACTGCACTGCAGGAAAAAAAAACTGCAACGCAGGTCTTCGCAAACCCGGGTCAGCCAATATGTGCGGCCGCCTGGCGGCCACGAGCGGCTCCCTAACCCGGGTCAGCCCGAGGGGGTCTTCGCAGGATCCTGCAGGATCTGGCGCCCTGGCTGACCCCCGTTTGCACTGACCCCCGTCTCAAGGCTCCCGAAACACCAACCACCCGCAGCCACCGGCAACAACGTTCAGGACATCTCCAAATCAGAGCAAGCTATAGAAGAACGCATGCAGCACCCTATCCAGCATGTACAGCAACACTACATTTTTCAACAAGAAGAACTAACACAAACACATACCCCATGAATGTTGCTGACAGAACAGAAGATACACTCCCAGGGACAATGTCTAACGCCTGAAATTCGACAACCCAGATGGCATGCACAACAGCACCACGGCCACGAAGAACAGTGCGCAACACACGTAGCACAACGGGCACAGGTACACGCAGAATTCGATCAAGAAGTTACAGCAGCACAAGAAGCACTACAGACAGCTCAACGACTTCAACAAACAGCGCGTAGCCAACTTGACAAATACAACGAGCAACGAGCAGCACGCCTCATCATGGCCCAGCGCGACAGAGCAACCTAAGATGACCAATCAACACTACCAGCAGCGACGTCGTACATCAGAACACTGCCAACAAGGTCCTGAGGCAGACGTACTTCAACAGCAGACGACGATACGCGAGCACATGACAGCACAATGCGAATATGAAAATTGGCGCAGAGAAAGAGAAGAATAATTAGCTTCACTGCTACGACAAGCAGAAGAGACCTACGGAAAAAAATCTAATCTCGGCCAGGACAAGAACTACTAGTAACAGACCTCGACAATGGCATCGAAGACGAGACCCGCATTGACCGCCACGTCGAACAAGAAAGGCTCATATAATAATCATACAAGTAATAAGAACAATAAACAACAAACTACAACGTCAACAGGTACATCAATCACAAGTGGAGGACGAAGTTAATCGACTGAATGACGAACTGGACGGAATCATAGACGAGGACGCCGACGACGTTCACGACAAGGACGACGACATGAAGGACGACTTCACGACGACGCACACCAGCACGCGCATTCCAATACAACACCACACAGACACGCCCAACCCACTACAATAAGCAGCTTCACCACAGGTGTTGACTCATCACCAGAGCCACCAATCACACCGACGGAGCAGTTACCGCCAAGAGCACCACAACAACAAACACCACTCATCACGCCAACGGAGATATACTCAACTGGCACACCACAGCCGCATACACCAGAACGAAGAAAAGCAACGACTACACACTCACTGCCCATGGGAGACACGCCGCAACACGTTACCGCTCCACAGCAGCAGGATGACGAGGAAAAAACCGAAGCACTGCATCACTTTGCGACAGCACATGCACTGGCCATACAACGCAACGTTACGATCAGGTCGAGTCCTTCACCACCCAAGCATGCACCGCAAGATGCACCCGCGGAGGACGATTGCTACGTAAACTTCGACCCGCGGCCCACAACAACTTCAGAGCCACCAGTGCCACAAAAACTAGCAGCCTACTTCGCCCGTTCCACCCAAATAGCTTCTCTTGCCAAAAGCCAAGAGACCGACGCCATAGTCCGCGGAATCCCATGCCTGACCCACCAAGAGGTCAAAAGAGGTGTACAAGCTACCTAGCTAGCGACACAAACGACTCATCTCCTCCCGAAGACAAGACGCGTAGTACGTACCATCACCTTCAACGAGCTATCCCAAAACATCTACTCACCTCTCTCCATAACGCAAACCAGATAATAGTTCTACAACGCGACCCCTCAAATATTTCACACCACCCAACTATGCAAGTAACGCTCGCACTTTACAACCGACCGCGACCCACGTGCTCCACGTTACTCATCTACCCCGACGGCCCGTTACAAACCACCAGGGACGACTCAGCATAAGCGTTTGTAGTGCTCAAGTTGACGCTTTCAGGGCAACATCATGAGCAGCATCCAAAGCACTTTCGACATGAGCCAGCTCGGTAATCCACACATAGAACTAACCGACATCACCTGGGCAATAATATATGCTACGCAGCAGCCGCCCCATCTGCACAAGCAGATACACGCAGACTCAGCCAACGCCATCCACCTACTCAACCAGCTACCCCACAGCGACGATCCAATTACACAGATTACACAAACACTACTCCACCAAGCGCGCTAACAACATTCCATACCAATACACCACATACATGGACATGATGACCATCCGTAGAACGAGTTGGCAGACAAATTAGCATCAGAAAACACGCAGCAGTTCACTCCAACACGGATGCGATTCGCACAACAGACACAACATTCCATCATCCCGACGCACTCCTACAAGACCGACTAGCAGACCACAAACAAACTTACTGGACCATACACCGAAAAGACCCAACCAACGACCACTACGCCTACCCCGTGATCCAACACGAGGACAACACGACTTAGCCCAGTAACTCAACAACCCACACGACTCACTACGGCGTTCAACGAGCAGACGAATGCCGACCCACGCCCACGCGCAGCAATCACCACCAAAGAAGACAGCACGACCACCATGCACTTCAATATTGCCACCAATAACGCACAGAGAGCACATGTTGACGCGACAAGTGACGACTTGCAACACAATAGGCAGACTCCCTATCACATGACTAGAGGACAACATCTACGAGCACAAGCATTATGTACTGCAGAAGGTCCACATCATGGGCATATAAGGAGACTACAGCACGGAACGACTACAGCAACGCCGACACCTAGAGTTTACTACACCACAACATCCATCCAAATTGGGATGCAGGCTACTAGTCCGCACAGCAATTCCATGCGCCAAACTCCCAAACGATAGCCCTACTTCAAATACAAGCACTTCAGAGTACTCCACTCTTCCCACATGTTATTCATCATTAAGCTACGAACACCATTCATTAGCGAAACGATCTACGTTGCCCACACGCCGCACATGCAACACGACACAAGACACATAGCCAAATGGTGAGAAACCTTCCACAGCCTGGCTGATAAATGGCTACATACAATCGATCAACACCAATATGTCGCCAGGCAGTGGCGACATAACACCACCGGCACAGCAACAAGCAGGCGAAGACGACAATGCTACGCAAGTGCGACTACCCATGGCAGCCCACGATCTCACATGCACCAACATAATAATCAACTGCGAACCTAATTACACATTGATCCAGCGAAATCGTGGGCAAGCCGACGAAACACAGAAACGACTACATAGCACTCGCCAATGACTGGCTACCCTACGTCACCGACCTGTACGTCGACCACCACCACGACTCAGGAGATAAAAACGAAGACCATTTTCCCATTTACCTGACCACCGAGCACAAACGACCACTCGTCAAGGCCAAAAGCAAGCTACCACCTCCATATGACCCAGCGAACATGCAATACCCAAATAGACAAGCACAATTCGCCAACCTAGTCGACAACCAGCCGCTACCACTCTGGGACACGCACATCAACCAGCATCACCAGCAGACCACAAATGTACTTCACGCAGCAGCCGCGTAATGTTTCCCTACCGACGCTGTGGCACCACACCGTGGAACTTATGCGACTTGGACGACACGCTACATCAGTACTACGGCCAAGTATAAATAAAAACACTACTACTATGTTACACAAGCTTAACAACGACATCGCACAATACCTCACGGGTAGCCGCACCGATCTGCACATGCGCAATTTACATTTGGCACTACACACGTCCATAGCCGATAGACATCACGACGCGGGAACAGCAGTGCGACTTTTTTTCGCAGCAGCTAGAACACGACTTGCTCAACAACTTAAACAATACTGAGCTGACCACATAACGGCACTATCCAACAAGTCCCAGAGCTTCCACGACTTGCGCGAAAATAGAGTTGCATGGCAAAACGCCAAGGCAGCACTACGCCACGGTCCAGCCACCAGAAAAGGAGCAGCCAAGATGCCCCTCTTCGTGGACGCAATGGGAAAGGCACTAGAAACTGACGAACAACAAGCAAACGAATTCGCAAAACATGTCGCAAAGCAAGAAGGAGCCAAACTCACGGACAACGAAAGCACCCCCCAACGCTACAACCATACGCTCAACACACCAATCATGACAGCCACACTGGACTACGTCATTTCACGATCCGAGACAACAACGCGCATTAGAAACGTGAAGCGGCGCAAGCAGCCAAGACTTGACGTAATCGCGACCAGCGTGCTCAAATCAGCTCCAGCTAGCACTGTCAGACACATACGCCCATTACTACTCATGGCATCACTTATCCAACAAGAGCCTTTTTTATGGAAGCATGGTACCACAGTGCCATTACACAAAGGCCAAGGCACTACCAGCGAGGCAACCCAGTACAGATCCATTGCACTCGCATCAGACATTCCCAAACCTAGTGAGCTTCCCGAGCACCGCGCATTCAAGGGCACGTGGTCACAACGCCCAGCAATGCTTGAGAAGGCGGCGGCCCTGGTCCGCAGCAGGCCCGAGGCGAGGCTCGCCTCTCGAGCCCTCAGCGCCAGGCTCCTATATGCCGCCACGCTGGTTCTGGGCAGGCTGTGCTGTCCGGCGGAAGGGGACGAGGAGGGGAGAAGCAGGCAGACGACGACGAACGCCCAGGCGGGAGGCCAGGGCCGGCGGGGCGGGCGGGCAGGCAGAAGACGGGCCAGGCGGAGACAGCAGGCAGGGAGCAGGAGGAAAGGAAAGGGAGGGAAGCAACGAGCAGAAGCGAAGGGAGGGGGAGGAGGGGGAGGAGGACAAGGAGGAGAGAAAGCAGCGGCCGCAAGCAGACAGGCCGGGCCAGGGGCCGGGAGAGAAGAGCCGCCCGCGACGAGGCTGCGGACCCTACGGCGGCGACCTGGGCGGGGTGGCCGCCCGAACCCAGCGCGATGCGGCTTGGTGGGGATTGCCCTCTGCGGGATCCATCCACCGCCCCGCCGGGGAAAGGCCGGGCGGCGCGTGGGAGGGGTCGCCGGCGCGACGTTGGCGAAAGGGCGAGGGGGGCGCCCGCGCTGCCCAGCAAGGGCGGGGGGGGGGGGCGGGGGGCGTATCATTATCAGTATCATCATCGTCAACGTCAGTATCATCATCATCGCCAATATCATCATCGTCAATGTCAGTATCCCAAACCAGCATCATCGTCAATATCATTATCAGTATCATCATCATCGCCATCAACATCATCATCACCGCCATCACCATCACCATCACCATCACCGTCACCATCAGCAGCATCGTCACCATCATCACCATCAGCATCATCACCACCATCACCATGGCCATCATCACCATAAGCAGCATCATCATCATCAGCATCAACATCATCAACATCAACATCATCAGCGGTATCATCAACATCAACATCACCAACATCACCACCATAATCATCAAACGCATACCATCGCCATTACCATCACCATCACCATCACCATCGTCAATCCTTATTGTCGGGGTTCTTGTCCGGGTGCCAGTTCCGCAACAGCATGCGCCACTCCTGCGATCGCCGCAACGGAGGTGGTCCCCCCGCACGCCGCTCTGGCCCGCGGGGGCTCGCGCCCCGCTTCGGGGAGGGGAGGAGGTAGAAGCACGGCGATTGGAGGAGGAGGAGGAGGAGGAGGAGGAGAAGGAGGAGGAGGAAGAGGAGGAGGAGGAGGAGGAGGAGGAGGAGGAAGAGGAAGAGGAGGGGGGGGAAGTAGAGGGGAGAGGGGGAAGAGCAGGAGGGAGGAGGAGGAGGAGGAGGAGGACGAGGAGGAGGCGGAGGAGGAGGACGAGGATGACGAGGAGGAGTAGGATTATGTCGGGCGTGTCCCCCTACAGGGGGATTTTCGACGAAAAATAAAAAAATACTCAAACCATATCCTCCAAAAGTCAGAGCAACTAAAACATTGTCTCGAGACTATGTTTGGACTATTGTTTGACTATGGTTCGGGTATTTTTTTATTTTTCGTCGAAAATCCCCCTCTAGGGGGACAGGCCCGACTTAAGAGTAGGAGGAGGAGGAGGAGGAGGAGGAGGAGGAGGAGGAGGACGAGGGGGAGGAGGGGCAGGAGGAGGAGGAGGACGAGGAGGACGAGAGAGAGGAGGAGGAGGAGGAGGAGGAGGAGGAGGAGGAGGAGGAGAGGACGAGGAGGAGGAGGACGAGGAGGTGGAGGAGGAGGAGGAGGAGGAAAAGGGGACACAAAAAGGAGGAGGAGGAGGATAATGAGCAGGATAATGAGGAGGAGGAGGAGGAGGAGGAGAAGGAGAAGGGGAGGAGGAGGCGGCAGAGGAGGATCAGGTTAGGCTCGCCCACAAGGGAGGAGGAGGAGGAGGAGGAGGAGGAGGAGGAGTAGGAGGAGGAGGAGGATACTGAGGAGGAGAAGAAGCGGGCGGGAGATCAGGAGGGATTTGAGGAGGGGGGAAGAAGGAGGGGAATTTCAGCATCAACAGTGGCAAGCTGCCCACATGCTCCCATAGTGGTGGGCGAGGACACTATTGGGCAACCTGATCAAAACAAATGCATTCACAGCTGGACATGTGTTCCAAATTCAAGTCAAACCCTAGCTAGTCAGATCTAGATTCGTAGCCTTCACCACCCTTTGACTCACTTGTTTTGGCCCGCCGCGGCCAACACGCATATCGAAGTCGCTACCCTGCGCAGCTCGCGAGCCTCCTTTCCTGCTCCTTAGGGGGTGGGAGGCTCAACGATGGAGGGGGGGATCCTCATCCTGTTCGTCACACCGAGGCCCAACGCTGACGGAAACGCCGTCGCGCCTAGGGTGGCGGCCTGTCGACAAGCGGTTCCACGCAGACTGCCCGCCTCGGATCCCGGGCTCCCTTCGAGGGCGTGGGCTGGCAAGGCAAACGGAGACCCCCGACCTGTCCCCCCGCTGGTGTAGTGCGTACAGCGAAAGCGGGCAGACATGAAGCTGTGGTCGCTGGCGCCGAGAAGCAGCATGCTGTGCCCCAGCGCAGACAGCGCAGTGGCCTCGGATACCGACCCCAGGACCCCCCATGGCACACTTCGGGTGCCACATGCGAGCCCCACCCCCACCCCCCACGACTTCCGAGGGGGAGGGTGGGGCTCACTTCGACCGGGAGCTCCCGAGCGAAGTGAACCCCACCCTCCCCCTCAGAAATCGTGGGGGTAGGGGTGGGGTTCGCATGTGGCCCCCATGGCACACTCCCTCGGGCGGTGTGGACACGGCCCGGGAGCCTAGGAAAGCAGCGCTCGCACTGCCAGATTGGCCCTGCCCAGGACCAACGCGCCCAGGAGACTTCTGGCGGCGAGCGATCACAACAGACAGTAGGGCGACCCCTGGCCCCTCTCCCACATGGCATTGCAAAGCATATGTCACCTTCGCCCTTCGGCCGATCCCGAACTTTCGCCTTCGCGACGCTTCCCCCTGGTCATGTTTCCCTCTGCCCTCCTCCCGCCCCCCCCCCCTTACCTCCCTGCTCCACTTTCCCTCCTCCTCACCATTCCCTCCTCCCCCTCCCTCCTTTCTATCCTCCTCCTCCTCCTCTTCCTCCTTCTCCTTCTCCTCCTCCTGGGTCGAAGCAACATCGCTTGTGCGCACGGAGAACAGTTTGACGCGCGCCCCGCTGAACTTTTTGTTTCGCTGCTCCCTCGATGTCCACTATCGTCTGCTCCTGCTTCAGCCGGAGGCTCCGCCCAGGGTGGTCCTTGGCTCTCGCCTCCTTCGGCTCAATCTTCTGCAACTCCTGCAGCTTCTGCAGCGCCACCATCTTGGCCTGCGGACGCGAGGAGGAGGAGGAGGAGGAGGAGGAGGAGGAGGAACGATCATCTCTCAAGAGCCCAACCCAAGCGGGTCCCCTCGAAATCCGGCAGGTGTGCCAAACCTCTTCCTGTCGGCTGTCCAAAATGGCTCACTCGGACCGTCTCGTGGCTCATGGCTTTCGCCCTGCTCCATCCCGCGGGGGGGCTGGTGGCAAGCATTATCTTCCTCGCTGGTGTCCGCCCCCCTCCCCCTGAGGCACCCCCTCTTGAGGATGAGGAGGAGAGAGAGATGAGGAGAGATGAGGAGAGATGAGGAGAAGGAGGATGAGGAGGAGGATGAGGAGGAGGAGGAGGAGCATGGAGAAGGACGAGGAGCAAGAGGAGGAGGAGGAGGAGGAGGAGGAGGAGCATGGCTGAGGAGGAGCATGGAGGAGGAGGAGGAGGAGGAGGAGCGAGGAGGAGGAGGAGGCGGCGGTGGCTGAAGGCCACCCCGCGGGGGGCCAGTGGAGAGAGCAGCGCAGGGGGCAGCACGAGGCGCGCCGACCTCGGCGGGGTGGGCTGCCGGGCCCCCCACGGGCGACGAGGGGCGGCGCGGCGGCGGCGGCGGCGGCGGCGGCAGCGGCGGCGGCGGCGGCGGCGGCGACGGCGGCGGCGGCGGCGGCGGCGGCGGCGACGGCAGCGGCGGCGGCGGCGGCGGCGGCGGCGACGGCGGCGGCGGCGGCGGGGCCGATGCAATCCCCCCTGAGCCCATTCCCCCCTCTCGTACGGTCGGGCCTGTGCCAGAGGGACATCCCTCAAGAGCACGAGGCCCTCCGCCGGCCCACAGGCACAGAACATCCAGGGGGGAACCTCCCCTGGGACGCACAGGAGCCTCCAGCCAACACGAAGAGCACTAGGGTACCCTCCCCGAACCGACCTCGATCTGATACCTCGGTCCGACTGTACTCACCCCCTCATCGTTGCCCCTGGTCCGAGCGGTTTTCGGGCCATACGTTGGGCCTCCGGCGGCTGTTCGGAACGATCCTGGCCCCCTCGGAGAGCTCACGATGAGGCGCAGCTGATGGAAACTATCCCGAGGCTGGGAAACCGCCGACAACTAGAAAACGCCAAAACCTCGAGCCCCCCCTAACGCTGCCCCCGTCTGTGTGGGGGGTCTACACCACCCCAGGAAGGCCCGCAAGGTGAGCGCGCCAGAGAGCCTTCGTTTTGTTGGATGGATCTCTCAAACTCTCCGCCGTAGCGGTGTGCGTTCATAGCAGCAACAACGCAGCAAAGCCGCACACCGCCTGCGGTTGCGAAGAGCTTGAAAGATCCATCCAACTCGGCCAGCTGGGGAGTCTGAACTGGTTGGGGCCCCAGAAAATCAGTCAGGAAAGGGGATGAAGCCAAATGCGCTCGAAATCGGTCCCCAGACCCTCCTGGGGTCCATCTGATGCAATGTTTCACCTCGGATCCGGTTTTCATGGTCCCTGGACCCGAAAATGGCCCCTGGAAGCAGAAATTATCCCGGCAAAGCAACCTAACAGCGATGTGTAGAAGCATATCTGAAAGCATTCCCCTTAAGATTCAGATGAAAATCCAGTTGTCGAATTCTGCTGTTCTCGCAGTCGTAGTCGCATTCGCGATGACAGTCGCAGCGGCAACGGCAGTCGCAGTCACAGCCTCAGCCTCAGCCTGCCTCAGCCTCAGCCTCAGCCTGCCTCAGCCTCAGCCTGCCTCAGCCTCAGCCTCAGCCTGCTTCAGCCTCAGCCTCAGTCTGCCTTCAGCCTCGGCCTCAGCCTCAGCCTGCCTCAGCCTCAGCCTGCATCAGCCTCAGCCTCAGCCTCAGCCTGCCTCAGCATCAGCCTGCCTCAGCCTCAGCCTGCCTCAGCCTCAGCCTCAGTCTGCTTCAGCCTCAGCCTCAGTCTGCCTTCAGCCTCGGCCTCAGCCTCAGCCTGCCTCAGCCTCAGCCTGCCTCGGCCGCAGCATCAGCCTGCCTCAGCATTCAAAATATGGCCCAGGAATGGAGTTCTGGGAACTAGAAGAACACGAAGTGGCCTACAGTTGGCTCCGGGGCCCAGGAATGGAGTTCTGGGAACTCGAAGTGGCCTACAGTTGGCTCGGGCATTCAAAATCATGCCCAGGAATGGAGTTCTGGGAACTGAAGAGCACGAAGTGGCCTACAGTTGGCTCCGGGCATCCAAAATGTGGCCCGGGAATGGAGTTCTGGGAATCGAAGAGCACGAAGTGGCCTACAGTTGGCTCCGGGCATCCAAAATGTGGCCCGGGAATGGAGTTCTGGGAAGTCGAAGAGCACGAAGTGGCCTACAGTTGGCTCCGGGCATCCAAAATGTGGCCCGGGAATGGAGTTCTGGGAGCACCAAGAGCGATTTTGCGAGGATGTCCCAAGCGATTTCGGCTTCGGCAGCAGCCGCGGCGGCAGCCTGTCCGGGTCCCGCCCCGACCCCCCTGTGGAGTCATCTGCTGCTCTCTTTTGAGACCACTAGAAACCTATCAGCAAGAGCTGTTAGGTAAAAATGCAAAATATTCCTGAACCAAGAACCTCGAACCTGCCAGCCCTTCCTGCTAGCTGGAACCACTACTAATGGGCCACCTCAGCCCCCAAGCCGGCTCCAACATCCGCACGATCCAGGAGTTACCCCTGACCACCCCCAGCCCCGATGATTCGGGAACGGTTGGACGCCCGAATCATCTGGGATAACTCCTGTGCGGGGTAACTTCGGTCTGGGCCCTCGAGGCCAGAATCAGCAGCTACCCCTGACCGCCCCCGGCCCCGCGAACGTGGGAGTGGGTGCGGCGAGCGCGTGATGTGCGCGTCGGGAGGCAGGCGGCGGGGGGAGGGGAGGGCGAGGGTGCGGATGCCGGGAGGTGGAGCGGGGTGAGGTGGGGACCGTGGCGAGTGGGGGTGCTGAGGAGGAGGAGGAGGAGGAGGAGGAGGACGTGGGCGGAGACGCCTCGGGCCTCCGAAGAGGCGCCTGCAGGAGACCCCGCCCCCAAGGAGGGGCCGCAAAAAGAGCGCGCCAGGGAGACCGCGCGCCGCGGGCTCCCTGGCAGCACGCGCCGCCCCCGCCGAGCACCAAAACGGGGCACACTGAGCGGGCGCGCTGTGTGCGCGCTGGGGTTCGACGCCGCCAGCACAGTTCGGCGATACGCAAGAGAGACTCGTTCTAGACTCGAGGCGCGAAAATTCGCCACGTAGGGTGTTTCGCTGTTTTCTACCTCTGGGGGCCCTTGCCGGGCCTCGGGGTCGTCAAACATCGACTCAGGATGAAAAACCGGTCCCAGGGAAGGGGTCGAGACATCTGGGGGTCCACGTGGTTGAAAAATCACGACGTCGGGGATCTGGAGAGCGACTCTTGGCAAGAGTAACCTGTGGTGCGCGGCTTCAGGCGGTCGCGGGGGAAGGGCCAAACCCAGGCGCGGAAGCCGCTGCTAACGCATCGCTATCAACGATCGGGGGACACCAGTGTGCCCGCACCAAAGGTCACTCCGGCGAATACTAATAATAATATTCGTAATAGGACAAGAGTAATAATAACAATGACGACAATAATTATACAATGGTAATAATAATGATAATAGTGTTAATCGTAGTAATACTATTAGTACATAGTAATAATACTAATACTACTCATAAAAATAAAACTAATAGAAAAATAACACTGATAATATGATAATGGCAGTAAAATATAATGATAACAATAACAATCATCATCACCATCATCATCACCACCACAACCACCACCACCACCATCATCATCAGCAGCAGCATCAGCATCAGCATCAGCATCATTACCATCGTCATCATCATCATCATCATCGTCATCGTTTGTCAGCATCACCATCATCGTCACCATCATCATCGTCATCATCATCATCACCATCACCGTCATTGTCCTCGGCATTGTCATCATCGTCAGTATCAGCATCAACATCAACATCATCATCATCATCATCATCATCATCATCATCATCATCGTCATCGCCATCGTCATTGTCATCATCGTCAAGATCATCCTCAACATCACCATCATCCATTCATCCGTCCATCCATCCATACATCCATTCATTTATTCATGGATTCATCCATATTCATTATCATCCCCATCCTCATCATCGTCCTCTTGTTCATTCCCATTATGAGCCTCATCATCATCATCATCATCATCATCATCATCATCGTCATCATCATACTGATCGGCTTGCTGATCATGACCATCGTTAACCTGACCATGATGATCGTCATCAGAAGCAGCATCAGCATAATAATCAGCAACATCATGACCATCATCACCACCGTCATCATCATCACCACCATCATCAGCATCAGCATCAGCATCATCATCATCACCATCATACTCATCATCCTCATCCAATCCTCTTCTCCTTCTCATAATCCTTCTCCTTCCCTCTTCCGACGCCTCCTCCTCCTCCTCCTCCTCCTCCTGATCGTCCATAGATCCTTCTCCCTCCTCGCCCCTCCCTCTCCCTCTCTCCCTCCTGCCCTCCCTCCTCCCCATTCTCCCATTTCCCTCCTGCATTCGTTCAACAGCTCTTTGAATAAACAGCCAAAGCCGTCGCTCGCCTGCCTCTGAAACAATATTCATAACTGGTCGGCCTCAGACCGCTGCTCGGCGTGCCCTTCCCCGCCCGCACCACCCACGTCCCTCTACCATTTCGCGGCGATGTGGAGGACCTTCCACGGGCGGGACAAGGCCGCGCCCTTGGGCCAAGGCAGGTTACCTCGGCGAAAACAGCGAACCTGAGCGGGCTTCTTCTTACTGCACGGGCCCAAGAAGTGTCTGGGCATTCTTGGAACATCAGGACCCGCACCCGGAGCAATACAGAGCGGGATTCCCCGATGCAGAAACCGTGGCAGCCCAGAGACGAAGGCTGGGCCCTTGGGCCCCCACTCCTCGGATCAAAGCACCAGCATCTCGGGGAAAACCGGAGCGCCTAGCCGAGTTGGGCGGCCGGACTCGGAAACAATTGGCGCGAACCACACATGACCAGAAACGACCATTCCACAATACATGGCGCTGCTTATACAGGGTTCGGTGCACCTCCCTGGCAGGAGGCCACTGCTCCAAAACAAAAACAACTGCTATACAACCGCGATCCATCAATCTAAACAGTCCTTCACATGTGTAACATCCTGGGGGAGGGGGAACGGCCGCGCGGCCTCACGACATATGCCGCGAGCCCGAAAATTACCATCTACAACCAATTGTTCAGCCAACAGTCGGTCCCAACGTTCCATGGACTGCTAAGCATTCATTTACCCTTTGAATGGTGAGCTGCCGGTCTAATCTCTGGATATGGCGCCAATCGCCCGCCTGCTGAAAAGTGCCACTCTGCGCTCTGATACTGAAAGCGCAGCCAGTGATGAGGGTTCCGCCGTCGGCGCACACATCCACCCCCTCGTCCAACTTACTTGGATCCTGCCAGATGTGCTAAATGGCCTGAAAAAAAAAAAAAAAAAAAAAAAAAAAAAAAAAAAAAAAAAAAAAAAAAAAAAAAAAAAAAAAAAAAAAAAAAAAAAAACACGATGTTCGGCCCACGTCGCACTTTGGGAAAGCGCCGAGGCAGTGGACCCGTAAATGCCCTCTCCCGTCGATGGAATCCGTTGTGGGGCACGTGAAATCGAATCGTCAATTCCACCTGCCCCGTCGCATCTGCGATCGCCCACCACTCGCGGCAGCACCTCCCGAGTGCATCGCTGGCGTCGCGCAGCGGTTCGGCAAACGACTTAAGCAGCCAGCGCGCGTCCACGTCTGCCCCATCTGACCACGCACCTAACTACTTGGCTGTAAGAGCTCTGAATTTCTTGATTTCTCCAAGCGAATGTCCGTGGATCTCCCCACCATAATAAATCGATGGTCCCACCGCGCGCGCGAATATTTTGACCCGCTGGGGCTTCCGGAGCGCGCGTTCCCGAAGACGCCGATTGTTTGGCAACCCCATGAATTTTGCTTTCCTTCTAGATTTCTCGTTAGCACAACATCCCTCAGAAACTCTTACCTTGCATACATAGAAATCTGCAACTCGATTCGCGATGGGGTCCGCGACGGCCCCTGAATTTTCCAGGGGGCCCAAGGGGCCTTCTTTCTGGTCCTCGAGCTGTTGGGTGCGACCTTGCCACGTGGATGGGGGGCCCCAGGGCGTCTGTGAACTGGGAGAAGACGCGCCGTGAGATGTCGTGGATCGATAGCTCAGCGCCTTCAAAAATAATGCGCGTCACGAGCTGAAGGCGACCGTCGAACAGCCAGCTAAAATTCTTCGCCGAGGGCAGATTCGGGCTTTTGGCGCCCCCCCGCCCCTTGGGCCAGATTTCGCGTCGTTCCTGAGAACGGGCCGCGAAGGAGGCGGCGCGGTCTCCAGCTGGGTGCCCCAGATGTCCTCGGTGAACCCGGTGACATTGTTGGCGCAATGTGCTCGTCTTCCTCCCCCAACTACTAAGTCATCCCCGCGCCGCTCCCCCCGCCTGCCGTCGATCCTCTTCCTCTCCTTTGCGATGTAAGTACGATGCGTATCTTACAAGACAGGTGGCCGCGCATCTGCTGCCGCGAGGAAGCGCGGCTGGCTCTCCTTGCAGAATGATAGGGCGCCGATCTCACGGGCGCGCGAATGCCAGAACTCGCTGCGCGTCCTCCACGGGGCCCTGAACGGCTCCCCTCGAAATTGCAAGCTAAACGCACGCGCGGCAGGGCCCCGAAGTTCCCATGGGCAACCGGGCTCCTCAACTCCATCACCCCCCTGATCATCCACGTCAGGCATCTACCCTCGCTGGGCAGCTGGCTCCGCGAGGCGATCCGAAATTATGACAGCCGCTCTGGCTCAAATTGAAATCTCTAGCCTCCTTCGACGCCGGCAGCATGAAGCTTGAAACTTGGCCTTGGGCTCGCCCCGCGCCCTGGCTGCCGAGCTGGGCGGAGGCGGTCGAGCGCGTCCTGGAGAATGGCCCCCTCGCTTCACCACTGGGGGCCCTGCCCGCCTCATCCTGGCCGACGTCGACAGTCCTCGAACAAGCTTGCAATTTCCGAGGCCCGGCCATCGTAGTCGGGCGTTTCGGGTTGCGGCCCCGCGGGGCGCTATCCTGGAATACGTTCGCACTGCTTGAACATTTGGGCCCGGGCGTCCCGGGCGGCAACGCTCAGGGGCATCTGCGCCGGCACGCGCGGCGGCGCGCTCGCCCCTTCGTCGACCGAGAGGCTTTGGAAACTGCAGGCGGGCGGCGAGTCTACTAGGGCGTAGTCTGTCGCGGCGCGCGCGCCCCCAATGATGCGCGCGGGGGCGTCTGGCGCGAAGATCTGGGCCCTGCACTTGTCTGGCCCGAGAGCCCGCGCCGCGCCTCAGGGCCCGCGCTGAAGTTGCCGCCCGCGACGAAGGGGGCCCCCGCGTTCGAGGCGCGGGCCCCGACGGCCCTGGATAACAGCGCGCCGGCGCGTCCAGCGCGGGTGCGATCCACCCAATAATTGCTACGCAGACTGACAATCCCAAAACTCCGCGCCCTCGGGAAAGCGAGGGGCATCGCCCCGAGAGCTCCTGCGCTCTTAGGCGCAAGCGACTGCCTACAATCCGCCGACCCCCTGGGGATTCGGCGCGCGAGATGCCCCCCCCTCCCCAAGCCCCTCCTCCCTGAGCCCGGTCTGGTCGATTTGGGCGGGGGGGGGGGGGGGCGTCCGGCCAAAGCTCGCCGGGGGGGTCCGGCCTTTCCCGGACTCTTTCTGGAAGTCCACGGCAGCTTCTGGGGCCGCCCAAGAAGCCCCCAAAACGGTCCAAGAGGGCCCCGGGACGCCGAAAGATCGCTCGGAGACGCCTAACTTGGGCCGAAAGATCTTTCCAAGACGCCCAGTACGGGCCGAAAACGGCCCAAGGGGCCGCCAAGACGTTTCAAGAGGCCTCCCAGGAGGCGTTCAAGAAGCCAAAATCGTCAAATTCCGTGAAGAAAACGCGCGTTTCTAGCGCATGTGATTTTTCCGCCTGCACAGCGCGGAAGCCCTTCCAAGATGCCTCCAAGACCGCCCCGAGACGGCCCCGCGGGCCCCCGGCGCGGCACAAGAGGCGCCCAAAACGACCCAAAAGGGCACCAGGACTGCCCCGAGAAGGGCCGAAAGGGCGACCGCGAAACGAACGCTCCAGCGGCCCGCCCCTAAAGCCCCCAGGCGGCCACAAGAGGCTTCAGAGAAGCGCCCGCACGCCCCCAAAAGGCACTCAAGAGGCCCCACGAGGCTCCCCAGAGGCCCCCGAGAGGCCCCAAGGGGCCCCGAGAGGCTCCCCAATCGGTTTCGATACAATGGTTCGACCTTCGCAGCGCGGAAGACCCTCCGAGACGCCAGCGGGCACTCCGAACCTTCGGCTCCAAGACGCCCCCGACGTGCCCCGGGGGGCCCCAGGAAGCCCATGAGAAAACGCAGGGGTCGGCGGCGTGGCGTAAGCCCACGAATCTAACTGACGGCGAACTAAAAGCCCCCCCCCCCCTCCCCTCCGCGAGCTACGACCGCGCGAGGTGGCTAAACGTGGGTGCCAATAGCTAGCCCGCCCTTGGAGACTGCTCGCGCGCTGCATATAACTATGGGGTGCGCGGGGCCGGGGGCCCATGCTTCTGGGCGAAGACCACTTCTATGTCTCGGGGCACCCCCTCCAAACAGTTCCCGGCAGCGCCCCGAGAAGACTCATGACAACTGCAAATTTGGAGCTGCTACCCTCTCGTCGGGCGCGTCGGCGGAGCCGCCTTGCCCGGCGCTGCAGCGGCTGCAGGCGCCCCTGCCGCCTCGATTCCTGGCTTGATCGTCGGGGGGCGCGACCTGGCCCGCGCATCCCCTTGCTGAGCCTCCTCCTTTCTGCCTGCCGCAGGCCGCGGCGCTGGCGCTGATCGGGGGGGCGTCTAGGGCGCGCTGCTCGGGGGGGGGGGGGGGGGGGGGGGGGGGGGGCGCCTGGCGCCCGCTGCTCGCTGGCGCCGCCCTCGCCCATGGGCGCCTGCGCCTCGGCGGCGAGGATGGAGGGTGAGCGGGTCGTAAAGCGCAGTGAAATCGTTCTGCCTGGCTAGGGCCACCAAGGCGCTGGCCATCCTGGCCGCGGTTGCCGCCAAGTTGTCAGCGGGAATCTCACCGCGATAAGGCTGAGCTGTAGCCGCCTTCGCAGGAACTTCAACGATGGGGTGGGTTCCGTCGGCCCCCTTGTCAGCCTCGATATTGGCCTTCGCCTCTTGAATGACCTCCTCCTGCTCGCGGGCGAGGGCTTCCTGCTGCTCCAGATGGGCGCGCGCGCTGACCACCTGAAGCTGGCGGAGCTTGAACTGCTCCTCGTGGCGCTCGGGCTGCTTCTGATGCTTGATACGTCAATCTGCTGCCGCTTGCACGCGGGCACTGGTCGGCTTGGCCGCCGCGCGGTCGGGGCGGAGGGCTTGCGACGAGGACTCGGGGGTCTTCTTAGCTGTCTCCCTTCTGTCTCCGAGTTTCGACATGATTCTTAAGGGCCTGCTTGCAGGTCTGGATCTGCTGGCCCGAGATGTTGAGCCGCGTCGCAAATGGTGGTGCGCCCACTCCTGGCTGGGATCCAGCCGCGCCAGGTGCTGCGGCCGCTGCTGGTGCTGCATCTGCCGCTGCCGGCGGTGCCGGTGGCAGGCCTGCATCAAGCCCTGGAGGCACGTCCACTGCACTGTTCGCAGAGTTTGGGACACACCCCCGGCCAGCTGTCTCGCATCGCTGCTTGCACAAATCCCTCGTCGTTGCTCAGGAAGTAGGCAGCGCATTTTCGGCGCCACTTGCGCATTCGCGTGAACCTATCAGAAGCTTCTGCGCGGAAAGCGCGTGCTCCTCTACATCGCCGCTCCGAGAAGTATTTGAATTTTCTGAGTTGGGCCCGATGGCATTGTGTGCTCGCCAACGTTGCACCCCTCTTGGCAGCGGCCCCGACGGGGTTGAGGGACACGATGCGTTGAACCCCCCTCCCCCCGTAAAGGCCTAGCAAGATAGCCCTGTTGCGTGGTCTCGGAGGGATCCTTGGTGAGTCGTTCCCTTCTTAATCATACAATTGTACTCAAACCAACCATAAATCCCACCCATGAACAATTGGGTCTGGATAAATCCCACGGTGGGACCCAATCCCGCCAATGTATGACGTGTTCGGGTCGTCTTAAGGTCATATTGCAATCATCTCCAGGTCATCCTAAGATCATGGTGTTGTACTCTGGGGATGCTCCGGCCACCTCGGGGTCGCTCTGGGGCCACCGCGCCTGGTCTCCAGGGCATCGTTCACATCTTGGGCCATTTTGGATTCGTCCCCAAGCCATTTCGACGCTGCGTCTGGATCCTGCAGGGGCCACGGGGTTTTCTTGGGGTCGCCCCGAGGTCATGTTCGAGCCCGTCTGAGGCCGTCGTGGAACCATCTTGGGGCCATGGGGCCGTCCAAGCGTCCTGTCTGGGTCGTCTGGAAGTCTTCCGTGATTCCAAAGAAATTTTCGGTACGCCTAAATCGTGCTATGGCCTCGGCTTGAAACGGGTGTTGTGGTGTAGCGAAGAACGATCCCGACATAGCAGAAGCCAGAAATTCCACGCTCCGCCGATGTGGATCCGTACTTCTACCACCCAGCTCGTGGCAGAGCAGTTCGGAACACGTGCGCCCCTATCTGAGTGGACAAGGAAACCACAACTGCCAAGCAATTCCCCCTAAGACCTTCTTGTGACATCCACACAAAAAACAACGGTTCAATTGAGCTCGCGATTGCGCCAAATAATGGGACACGCCACACCTGTAGAGAAAATCATCGCTGATCACACGAGCATGACACATTACCGCAAATGCCGTCAAGATCTGTTTCGCGGCTGTTTCACTCAGAGGTAACAGGCCTAACTATTGCGATGCGCTGCGCTGACTGGTTATCCACTACGAATGCAACGCGACGCTCATGGTCGTCCCATTCCAGATGATGGATGTCCCGCGTCTGCCAAAAGGTATTGGCCTGGGCAATCATCCGGCTTGTGAGCACTACGAGTCATTCTCAGTCCGCGGTGGTAAGCAAGGGTCGGAGACGCTGGCCGCGCGCACAAGTGGTTCGGGTAAGCCCCACGTTTGGCACATAGCACTGGTGAAGAACTCCAAGCCCGCACGCCATACCTGGAATGAAGGGCAAGCGCCACGTGCTTGCCGCATCGCGAGCCGTGCACTTCGCAGAACATATCTTCCCGTCTGGCAAGACGGCTGCGGACACGCTGAGCCGCGTAGCGGACGCGCCGCCACTTTCAAAATAATCTGTCATTTGTCCACCGCTCTCCGATAATACAGGTCCGCGGCGCGTTGAAGTGCTTCACGAGTGCTGTCCGGATTGTGTCTTTCTCGCCGCGTACCTTGCAAGACCGCTCCCAGAACACGATGCTGTAGCATGCGGACCCTGTATTTGCGAAACCAGGTGACAATCAAAGCTGATGTCTGGGCGCTGTACTCATAATGAAGTTCGTCCTGGACCCAACGCGTGTACAGTGCAAGATGTGTGCTCATGGGGGCCTGCTACTAGCACGCATTTTGCGCGGTACACGCATCGAGTCCAGGACAAACGTCACGATGATGTAGCATGCGGACTCCGTATTTGCGAACCCATGTGACAAGCAACAAGTGATATCCGGGTGCTGTACTGCATACAACCCTCGCCAGGCCGTCGCCACAACTTTCGAATCTCACCTAATCAATGCGAGCCCTGAGCCTCCACCACCTCCTGCTCCTCCTTTGTTTTTATGTTCGTCAGCCTCCTCTTCCGCCTCCTCCTCCTTCTCCTCCTCCCTCTCCTCCTCCTCCTCCTCCTCCTCCTCCTCCTCCTCCTCCTCCTCCTCCTCCTCCTCCTCCTCCTCCTCCTCCTCCCCTCTTCTGTCATCGCCCTCTGCCTCCGCCATTCCCTGTCCCCCCTTCTCCTCCTCCTCCTCCTCCTCCTCCTCCTCCTCATCCTCCTCCTACAACGACCCCGCCACCCCTCCTCCTACAACGACCCCGCCCCCCCTTCTCCTTCTCCATCCTCTTCCGCCTCCGCCATCTCCTGCCCACCCCCCTTCCTCCTATAGCGACCCCGCCGTCCCCCCTTCCCTTCCCTCCCGCCCCAATTTCGCGCTGCCTGCCGCACCCCGTGCCTTCCCCTCCCCCCCTCCCCCTCGCGTCTCCGCCGCAACCTCGTCCTGCCAACAAGCCCCCCTGCGTCCTTTCCCCATCCGTCTCTTCCCTCCCCGCACCCCCCCCCCCGCTCCCTCCACCTCCCCCCCCTTCCTCTCCCATCCGCTCCACTCTCCCCCCGCACCCTCCACCTTTCCTCATCTCCTATCCTCTTCTCCACTCCCCCTCCTCTCCACCCCCGTCCTCCGCCCCCGTTTTCTTCTTCCACTCTCCTCCCGCTCCCTTTACCGTTCCCCATCTCCTGTCCTCTTCTCCACTCCCCCTCCTCTCCACTCCCCTCCTCCGCCCCCTTCTTCTTCTTCTTGGTCTGGTCCACCCGCTCCCTCCAACCTCCCCCGTCGCCTCCCTGCTCCTTTCCACTCCAGCTCCCCTCCGCTGCTGCAAAGGTGCTGCGAGACGGGTGGGGCAAGGACACCGCAGCAGACGACGGAGGTGTGATGCGCGAAACAACTGAATGCTGCAAGATTGCCTCTTCGACTTCCTTGTTTTCCTCCTTCTCCGTGTCCTTCTCTAACTTCCGCTTCACCGCTTCGGGGTCTACGAGCGGCATCAGCAGAATGGCCATGCACAGAAGACGGCATCGTGAATGACGAGCGGGGGGGAGCGGGGAGCTACGTGGAACAACTCTGTGCACGAATGCGACACAAAACAACAACCGCGTATCATCCCTCACCCTGTTTTGCTGTTTTTCCGCCCCTCCCTCTCATTGTCATTCACGTCCCTACTCCCTGCGCCTCCTTGGGAACGACATTCATGCATGTGCGAAATGGCGCCCATGCTCGCAACAATGTGCATCGGAAGTGCAATCCCGCACCGCATGGGCAGACAGAGCGGGGGGGCATCGCCCACAAACATAGAACTGCATACTGTGCATGTGGGGCCACTCACATAATGCTACCAACACCGAAAATCATATCACATCAAATTCGGTGCCCAATTCGTCATTCCGAACCGTGCGCGCCCAGACGACCGCCACCGAGATGTCAATACATCCTTCGTACCCCTGGCCCGTGGCGCTCTCTTAGGGAGCATAACCGACTGCTTGAAACAAGCCTGTCTCAACCAGACATGTCCTGAAAACAACCCGTGCACACCACATAATGGCTCTTATGAAACAACGCCGACTGATCGAAACAAGCCTGTCTCAGTCAAACGTGTCCTGAAAACAGCTCGTGCAAACCACATAGTGGACCTTAGGGAACCAAAGCCGACTGATTGAGACAAGCCTGTCTTAGCCATGTATGTCCTAAGAACAGCTCGTGCAAACCACATGATGGCTCTCAGGAAAAAAACGACTGATCGAACCAAGCCTGTCTCAGTCAGGCATGTCCTGAAAACAGCTCGTGTAAACCACATAATGGCTCTCAGGACATATAACCAACTCAACGTAACAATCCTGCCGCAGCCAGAAATGTCCTGAGAACAGCTCGTGAAAACCACAGGGTGGCACTCGGGAACACAACCGACTGATCGAAACAAGCCTGTCTCAGCCATACATGTCCTGAACTCAAAGCAGCTCGTGCGAACCACATACTGGTTCTGAGAAAGCACTACAAACTGATCGAAACAAGCCTGTCTCAGCCAGAAATGTCCTGAAAGCAGCTCGTGCAAATCACAGAACGGATCTGAGCAAACAACACAAACTGATCGAAACAAGCCTGTCTCAACCAGACATGTCCTGAGAGCAACTCGTGAAAACGATAGAGTGGCTCTCAAAGAACAAAGGCGACGGATCGAAACAAGCCTGTCTCAGTCATACATGTTCTGAAAGCAGCTCGTGCAAACCACAGAGTGGCTCTCAGGAAACAAAACCGACTGGTCGAAACAAGCCTGTCTCAGTCAGACATGTCCTGAAAACAGCTCGTGCAAGCCGGAGAGTGGTTCTGACGAAACAACACAAACTGATCAAAACAAGCCTGTCTTAGCCAGAAGTGTCCTGAAAAGCAGCTCGTGTAAACCACATATTGGCTCTGAGGAGACAACACAAACTGATCGAAGCAAACCTGTCTCAGCTAGACATGTCCTGATAACAGCTCGTGCAAACCACATAATGGCTCTCAAACAACAGAGGCGACTGTTCGAAACAAGCCTGTCTCAGCCAAAAGTGTCCTGAAACCAGCTCGTGCAAACCACATAATGGCTCGCAGAAAACCCAGCCGGGTGATCGAAAAAAACTTGTCTCAACCAGAAATGTCATGAAGGCAACTCGTACAAACCACATAGTGGCCCGTGGGGAACCAAGGCCGCCTGATTGAGACAAGCCTGTCTGATCAACCTATGTCCTAAGAGCAGCTCGTGCAAACCACATGATGGCTCTTAGGAAACCAACGCCGACTTATCGAAACAAGCGTGTCTCAGCCAGAAATGTCCTGAAAACAACTCGTGCAAACCACGAGGTGGCTGTCAGGAAACAAAACCGACTGATCGAGACAAGCCTGTCTCAGCCATGTCCTGATAACAACTCGTGCAAACCACGAGTTGGCTGTCAGGAAACAAAACCAACTGATCGAGACAAGCCTGTCTCAGCCATGTCCTGAAAACAACCCGAGCAAACCACATAATGGCTCTCAAGAAGCAAGCCCGACTGATCGAAACAAACCTGTCACAACCGTGAATATCCTGATAGCAGCTCGGGCAAGCCGGAAAGTGGCCTTGACGAAACAACGCAAATTCATCGAAATCAACCTGTCTCAGCCGAAAATGTCCTGAAAGCAGGTCGTGCAAACCACAAAATGGCTCTGAGGAGACGACACAAACTGATCGAACTAAACCTGTCTCAGCCAGAAACGTCCTGATAACAGCTCGTGAAAACCACAGAATGGCTCTCAAAAAACAAAGGCGACTGATCGAAACAAGCCTGTCTCAGCCATAAATGTCCCGAAAACAGCCCGTGCAGGCCACGAGAATGACTCTCAGGAAACCAAGCCGACTGATCGAAACAAGTCTGTTTCAGCCACGTATGTCCTAAAAACAGCTCGTGCAAGCCACAGGATGGCTCTTAGAAGAAAAAACAACTGATCGAAACAAGCCTGTCTCAGCCAGACATGTCCTGAAAGCAGCTCGTGCAAACCACATAATGTCTCTCAGGAAACATGACCAACTGAACGTAACAAGCCTGCCGCAGCCAAAAATGTCCTGAAAACAGCTCGTGCAAACCACAGAGTGGCTCTCAGGAAACCAAACCGACTGATCGAAACAAACTTGTCTCAGCCAGAAGTGTCCTGAAAGCACCTCGTGCAAACCAGAGAATGGTCTTTAGGAAACAAGGCCGACTGATCGAAACGAACATGTCTCAGCTAAACGTGTCCTGAGAACAGCTCGGGCAGTCCACAGAGGGTTCTCAGCACATCCTTTGGTGGGCTTCTGGGCAAGGCAAGACGCTTGGCCACTGCTTCCAGGGGGGAGATCGACCGCGCGCCGTATGCTTGCATTGGGTCCCGCGCGGGATGTTTCGCGCTGGGCTGCGCCTTCCTTTCCTTAGAGGGGCCCAGGGACACACAAATAAATACACACAAGTCCCAGCATTCCCTATATTTTCTTACATTTATTCGATGTTCCCCCCGCCTCCCATATTTTCCCGCCTTGTCCTGGGACTCGACGATTCCTTGTGTCTGTGTTTTTCCCCCTTCTGATCCTTCCCTGTCATCCGGGCCCCGCTGGCCATGTACTTCCGCGGCTATGGCGTGCGGCGCGGCGGTCCTGAGCGACTCCGTGAAGGGCCTGGCCGCGACCGACTGCAGGCCTGCTCGGGCACCGGCGGGCTCCGAAGCTGGTCGCGCTGGGCAGGGCGAGCGCGCGCACTCCGCAGCGCCCGCGGAGCCGTGTCGCCGCGGCGGACGGAGCGGCCGAAAGACACCTCCGCGCGGCGCCGGCCGCGGCGCGCGGTGCTCCGGGTGGCCGCCCGGGAGGTCGGCCGCGGGGCAGCGGCGCGCCGCCGAGGGGCGCAGCAGGCGGGCTTGTCCCCCCGGCGGCGAGGCGGGCCGCCCCCCTCCCCCCCCCCCGCCTCTGCTCGCCGCGCTGCAGGCTTGCGGCAGGAGGCTCGGAGGGCGCGCCGCGAGGGGGGGAGCGCCCTGCGGCGCGACGCAGGTCGCGGCCCAGCGGGGCAAGAGGCCCTCTCGTCGCCGAGGCCCTGTCGTCGCCGAGGCCGCCCTCCCGCCTCTTCTCGACGCGCTGCAGGCTTGCGGCATGCTGACCCGGCGACACGCGACGCCGAAACTACGATAACTTGCTTGGAGCGATCGCCGTCGATTTCGCCTTCTTGACTATGATTTTTCCGGGGGGTCATCGCTTTCGTTGTCGTTTGCGTAACTACTAGCGGATTTCTTGGTTCCGCTGCGGGTATTATGTGCCGACGCCTTGACTTGCCTGCTGTTTCTTCTTGGTTTCGCTGTAACTACTAACTACTAGCGGATTTATTATTGGTTTCGCTGTCGCTTACGTAACTACTGTCGCTTGCGTAACTTCTAGCGGGTCTTCTGCGCCGTCGCCTTGACTTGCCTGCTGTGGCCTTACCTTCGTCGAACTATGAATCGTTCTTTCTTTCCAGTGCCTGACGTGCCGCCAGGACAGCAGGCTCGGGGGCGTGCCGCAAGGTGAGGAGCGCCCTGCGGCACAACGCAAGTTCTTTGGCCTCGACAAAAGTTCACCCCTGCATCCTGGGACGCCTCCACGCGCGCCACGAAGACGACCGCGATGAGGCAGAACACCGCCGCGAGCGCCACAACGACCGCGAGGAGCCCGAGGAACATCGAGAACAGCACGGGGGGACGTGCGGCCCAGCCGGGCAAGAGGCCCTGTCGTCGCCGAGGGCCGCGCACCGCTTAACAGCCTGGAACATATCCCTATCCCTATGCTGGGCATCTCCTCATCACGATGCCAATCCTAGGGATTCCCTTATTTTTGGAGGGCGAATCCCTAATCTTGTCATCGCCTTTTGGCGTGCCAATCTTAGGAATAGCGATGAGTTCGAGGCTGGTAAACCGCCTGGAGAGGGGGAGCCTCGGCGGACGGAGCGGCCCCTCCACGCGCGAGGCGGAGGCCGGGCGAGGCGCGGCACGCGCAGCGGCGGCGAGGGTCGCAGCGCCGGAGCAGGGGAGGAGCCCAGCCAGGATCGCGCCCGAGGGGGCGCCGAGGCCCCGCCCCCCCGTGGCAGCCAGGCAGGCGCGCCCCACGACCCGCAGAGCCACCATTCGCCGAGGGCCCTGGATCCGCCGCGGCGGCCCGACGAGCAATTGCCGCGAGGCGGGCGCGTGTTTTTTTCTCTCGGACGTCTGCGAGCAGGCACCTTTCTTGCGAGCAGTGCCGCTGCGGGAGAAAAAACACACACACAGTGTGTGTGTGTGTGTGTGTGTGTGTTCCCCATTGTGTGTGTGTGTGTGTTTTCCCACAGTGTGTGTGTTTTTTCCCACAGATGTGTGTGTGTGTATGTGTGTATGTGTGTGTGTGTGTGTGTGTGTGTGTGTGTGTGTGTGTGTGTGTGTGTGTGTGTGTGTGTGTGTGTGTGTGTGTGTGTGTGTGTGTGTGTGTGTGTGTGTGTGTGTGTGTGTGTGTGTGTGTGTGTGTGTGTGTGTGTGTGTGTGTGTGTGTGTGTGTGTGTGTGTGTGTGTGTGTGTGTGTGTGTGTGTGTGTGTGTGTGTGTGTGTGTGTGTGTGTGTGTGTGTGGGGGGGGGGGGGGGTCCCCCACACACACAGTGTGTGTGTGTGTGTTGTGTGTGTTTTTTGTTGTGTGTGTGTGTCTTCCGACAGCGTGTGCTCTTTCCCACCGATGCTTCGGGGAGCGATACATCGGAACGAACTGTCTCTCCTCGGGCGCGCCGCTGCCCACCGAGCGCGCCACGCTGCGGGGCGCGCCCGGTGAGCAGCGCACGAGCCACGGCGGGGGGGCCGCTCCCCGCGGCGCGGCCGGGAGGCCCGCGCCGGGCGCCAGGGCCGCCGAGGAGCGGCTCGGGGCGGAGGGGCCTCCTGGGGGCCCAGAGGAGGAGGAGGAGGAGGAGGAGGCGGAGGAGGAGGAGGAGGGAAGGAAGGAAGGAAGGAAGGAGGGGGAAGGAAGGAAGGAGGAGGAGGACGAGGGGGAGAAAGAGGAGGAGGAGGAGGAGGAGGAGGAGGAGGAGGAGGAGGAAGGAACGATGGTGATGGAGCGCTCCTGCGAGCGGCTCCGTGGGAGCCAGCCCGGGCACGGGATCGGAAGACAGCACGCACGGGGCCACGCGCTCCCCGGGGGGGTCTCAGCAGCTGGGGGCGGCGGGTCGCGCCGCATCGCCGATGCATCGCCGATGCATTGGTGCACGGGCGATGCTCGGCCGTGAGCCCGAGGGGGAAATGAGAAGGATCATGCCTTGGCAGAAGGCTCGAAGGCCCCCCCCCGCCTTCTGAGAAGTATCCTGAGCCTTCCCCAAAGACACGAGACAACTTCTCGGAAGGCGCGAGGGCATCCGAGGAGTCCCGCCGCCTCCCGAGAACGGCTTCTCCTTATCATTCCCCCCCCCCAGGGCGCGCCGCCGAATCTGGCTTTTGGGCAACAGCCCGGGTCTCTGGCGGCCGTTCGGCGCCCTCGGCGAGGCGCAGCTGCTGCCAAGCATCCCGAGGCTGGAAAACCGCCGAGGACCGACGAAACGCCCAAAAACCCGACCACCACCCACCCACCACCACCACCACCCGACCAATCCTCGAGGAGGAGGAGGAGGAGGAGGAGGAGGAGGAGGAGCAGGAGGAGAACCTCGAACCCGACCACCACCCACCCCCCTCGACTGCAGGGGGTGCTTCGCGCTGGCGGGCTCCAAGCGGCGTCGGGAGGCCATCGCCGCAGGGGGTGGGGGGACGAAGGGGCCCAGGGACCCACAAACAAATGCACACACAGATCCCTGCCCCATACCTTCTCCACATCTTCTGGGCTCTTGGTCTTCCCCCCTCATACTTCCCATAGTTCCCCATCTGTTCTGGGGCAGTCGACGATGAACAGTGTTCCCCATGTATCCATACGTTCCATATGTTTCCCCACCTCTTTCCACATCTTCTGGGTTTTCAGTCTCCCCCCCCCCCTTCCCATGTTTTCCCGTATTTTTCCTTGGGGGTCGACGACTCATTGCGTCTGCCTGCGCGTGTTTGTTCCCCTCCTCAGGGGGTTGGAGGCCTGGAAATTGGCACCAACACCAGCACAGGGGTTTGCCTCCACAGGGAGATGATGATCTTAGATTTCGGTGTTGGTGGTAATATTTCGGCCACCTTGGAAGCCAGAATAGTACCACCATCACCGAGATCGGGATCGTCTTCCCTCGGTGGAGGCACACCGCCGACGTTGGTGTTGGTGTCAATCTCTAGGCCTGTGATATTTTTCCTTGGGGGTCGACGATTCTTTGCGTCTGCCTGCGTGTGTTTGTTCCCCCCCCCTCAGGGGGGGCGCCGCGAGGGCGCGGCTCCGAGCCGCCGAGAGCGCGGCAGCCTCGCGGGCAGCCGCCCTGCCTGCGAGAGGGGTGGCCTCGAGGGGGCGCCGGGCGGTCGGCGACGCGAGGACAGGAGGAGGAGGAGGAGGAGGAGGAGGAGGAGGAGGAGGAGGAGGGAGGAGGAGGAGGAGGGGAGGAGGGAGGAGGAGGAGAGGAGAGGAGAGGAGAGAGGAGGAGGAGGAGGAGGAGGAGGAGGAGGAGGAGGGAGGAGGAGGAGGACGAGGAGGAGGAGGACGAGGAGGAGTGACCAGGAGTGACCCATGGGGACCTCGTCCCTGCCCGCAAGGCCCCTGGAGTGCCGAAGGACACGAGCCTTCGCACGTCCAGGGCAGCAAGCCAGTGCAGGAGGAGCACGAGCCTCCGCACAGGCCAAAGCGCAGGAGGCTCCAGGCTCCAGCACTCAAGAAGTGGAGCCCAGGACGGGCTAGAGGATCACGAGCCTCTGCGTCACCTGGGCGATCGGAATGAACAGTTATAATACTCGCCTGGTCGCCTCTGGGGCCCCTTGTGGGCATGGGTGGCGACCTTGAGCTATACGGACTAGGTTCTGCTGACCTTTCTTGGACCTCTGGGGCGGGCATACCTTCTGGAGGTGCCCGCCATCAGTACTGGCAGCGAAGCCGCAAACCATACAAAAAAACATATTCTCTGAAGACCATTTTCAGACCTGGTGGCTGGGGTCTACTTTCCTGTTCCCAACCCACACCCCCCCGACGACACGACTCACCGAGACACCAGCCATATTCGGCGTAGTCGCCGCCGGGCATGCGGGTATGTGTGTGCATGGGCGAGCGCAGGCCTGCTCAAGACTGGTGCTCGTGGTGATTTCACCACAGACCTGACACCTCCACCTGCCACCCAAAGCTCGAACAAAGGTGTGAGAAGAAGCGCTGAGCGCACGATTCCTGCGAGAAGCCCTGAGGCGTGGGGCTGGTGGCGGCGTCCACTCCCCTGCCCAAGGATCAACAACCGCAGTGTCCTGGAGCGCTCTGCGCGCCCTTCTCCGAACCAGCCAAGCAACAACATCCCCTCGTCAGTGCGAGGCACTTGACCATGCGCAGTGGCTAACTCCCAACCTCTCTCAGCAGCTTGCGAGGCGAGCCCGTCAGCCGCCGCATTGCCGATGGACCAGTAAAACTGCTGCGCAGTCTGGATGCCTCCTGCCTCATCCTCCAGATGAGAGGCCGTCCAAAGCACGGAAACATCTTCGCCTCGGCTGGCCACTGCTAAACGAATTCTGATCCACAAATCTCGGTTCCATTATTTCGCGGCCCCCCTCCATCCTCGGCCTGACTCCCAGGCCTTGAAAAGGGAAAGGTGATCAGTAATGTATTGGAGGGGCCCCGATGTCAGTTCGAGCGCAATGCAAAACGCTAGCAGCTCTGCTCTGGGGGCGGTTTGTTTCTCCCCGACAAGTGGGGCGGAGGCGCCCCAAGCCAAGGGCCACTCCAGAGGCTTCCCCGACATAGGCTCCAGGATGACAACCCCCGCTCCGCACCTGCGCCGACGAGGGTCACTCGAAAACCGCCCCCCCGAGCCATCTCCGAAAACTATACATTTCCTGAATCAGCGCCGCCACGCGCGGCCCTGGGGCCCCTCCCATGAGAAGCAGCCCTTGAGAAACACAACCCATCATCGAACGACGGGACAGTGAGCTTTTCAGGGGGGGACCCCTCGGAGCCAAAGACTGGGTTCTAATTGGTGGCTGGCGATCGCGCGTGGGGTGAGAGCACCACTCTTTACAAAATCCTCATGTCCGCAGTTCGCTGGACACTCCCAAATCCTGTGCAGCAGCGTTTCTGGCGCTGAGCGGCAGCGCCTGCAACCCAATTCTAGTGCATATCCTTGTGCCCGTTGACGCTCTCTAGTCCACTGACCTCCAGCAACCGCAGTGAGGGTGAGTCCCCAATTATCAATGTCGTCATCCCTCTCGTACTTGTGAAGCTCCCTGGATATATGACTGAAATCTGCACCATGCACTAAATCATACGCTCCTTCGAACTTGGCGGCATTTTTCCATACTTGACGTCGTAAATCTGAAACGACATCTCCAACGATCTGCGTCATATCGACATGGCCGATTTCTGCAATGCCAAACTGGGGAAATATCCAATCCACTTCTCCGTCTGAAGTACTCTTTGTCCAATGAATAGGACTAGGACATGTACATGTCCATCCTCCTTCCAGCAAGGTGCCGATGATAGCTGAAGCTGGTCCTTTGACTCGACGCCAGCGTACCTTGCCCTGCACTAGGATGTGATTGAAGATACTTTCCCAAGCTGCAGCGACTGGACGATGTATTTCTGGCC